TGAAGTTGTGCGTACTTAGCTAGATGGATTGTAGGCATCTGATGATGAGTTTGATAGGAGAGGGAGGAGGATGTGAATATTTAATTCTGAAGTGTAATTGACGTGGCCAGCACAGTTTTATAAATTTTAAAAAGTGTACCTACAACATACCATTTATTTTTATTTAAATAAATTAGCACTCTAATTTCATGAGCTTGAATTCTTTTTCAATCATCAAGCCCACCACCAAAGATCTTCCCTAACAGGCAATACTCCATATTAAAGCATGGTCCTGATGGGTTTTTAAATTTGGATATTTTGGAGTTAGATTCAAATTCCTAGTCTAATCTATCATCAATTATGGGAGTTTTAAAGTAAAGTTATATAGACAACTCGAAATTACAGCATAATCCTCTTTGGCTTAAAATTTTAATTTGAGAAGGTAAAATATCATAACTGGCAGTTTGGGGCATTCAAGTTATAAAATAGAAATAAGATAATATAAACATTTAAGATGCTCAGCCAATTCTTCTTCCTCCCCCCACCCCACCAACTCCTTCCTCTTTCTTTTTGTCCCGTTTTCAAATTCAAGTTACAGGAGCTACTGAGAAGTACATCCTCCGTCAACTATTGACTGTATAGAAACATCCATAGAAGGTTCTTTATGTTGCCACTGATTTAACTTGTAAAAAAGTTTTTTAGGTCAGACATAGAGTGAGATACAAAATTTTGCCAGTCAGATGATACATTTTTATCTTTGAAGATACTGGTCTCAGCAAAAAGGATGGACGTGTGTGTGTGTGTGTGTGTGTGTGTGTGTGTGTGTGTGTGTGTGTGTTTGATTTTTGTTCTATAGATATTGATTTCATGCTGGTCTTGAACTTCTACCTCTGTGTATAATAGCAGTTATTTATATCTGTGGTCATTTAAACCATTGTTTATTCTATTTCTGCCTTCACATATTCCAGAATTTCTTATTATCAACAATAAATCATCAAGGATTTCTGCTAATGTAATATAGCCTGTGTTTGTACACAGAAAGAAAGTTGAACTTTAATTTATCCCATGCGAGCTAAATGGGTTAATGAGTACTTTTTAATAGACATCATGGGGTATATCACTACTCTCATTCCTACCTCCTTAGATTCCTAGTTTTCTATGACACACATATTAGAAATAATATAAAATAAGTCCGAGGAAAGCATTTTTTAAATGAATGAGTTTTAAAGCATATTGTCAACTGCTTCTGCTTTACTATTACAGCAGAGCACAGCCCGCGATCTGAGATTCTCAGGTCAAGCAATTGGATCAGATTTCTTTAAATAGTAGATGTCACCAGCGATAATCACATCCTTGTGAGTCACTTTATAAGAAAGTCACACCATAACAAACAATGCCAGTGAAAAGAAAATTATCTTTTCAATTATTTTACAATATCTTGAATCTTGGCAGCCATGATGACTTTTTTTTGAAAATGAAGAGGTGTTTTAGTTGTTTGTTTTGACCATCTATTCAAAAATTGATGGCTCTTTAATGCGGCATCTTATCAAGACAAAGACCAAAGCATTCATTTTGTGACCAGCTGTTCTTCTCACGGCACACAGTCTGAGGACCTGGAGTATTTAATGTGACAGTAGTACTAGAAATAGGAGCAGAGTGTCTTGTGTTTATATGGATTCAGTTCACTTCCATTAGATATTGAAAATAACAACATAGCGATATAAAGTGTTAGAAAGCCTTAATTGGATAATTGGTTAGAGTTTCAAAACTAGAAGGAGGTAGGAAAAGGAATTTTAGATGGAGATTAACCAAAGGCCTGAAGATAGTGAAGACCAGAGCTAGCTCAAGAAGAGGCAGTTAATCTAGTACGACATCAAGATAGGAAGGATACCCAGAGGGGAGTAACGGGAGTTGTAGCCCATGGCTCTTACTGGAAGAGTTTTGAATTCCCGAAGGAGAAATTTGAACTTCATTTTGTATGTCATGGGAAATGACATGGCCGAATCTGTGTTTCAGAACGTGATGTTCCTGCCTATTCTAAGAGAATGAATTGAAGAGAAGAGGCTAGAAAGAGGGAAAACAAGTCACATGAGTTAGCAAGCAGTGGGAGCCTCTGCTAGGGCAAGGGGTAATACAAAAAGAGCAAGTGACATGCCAGCTACACACATTGATTGTAGAAGGAAGATTACCACTGTTTGGTGATGGAATGAGTAGGGGAGAGAAACACTTGATGGTTATAAAGATGATCATGGTGGAGATGTTGATGATGATAGAGATGATGATGATGATGGTGATGGTGATGGTGATGATGATGAAGCTGGATTCCCTTCCTAAGCTTCTATTATCATACGACCTGCTAAGCCAAGGAATAAAACTTCAGGTGGAGCCATCTGGGATTCTGTCCCATGGAAACTCAAGAATAATACTTTTAAATCTGATTTAAATATTACCCCATACCTTCACTGTGTGCCTGATGACTAGAAAGGCCTATACGGAGAATATCCACAGGACTCTATTATGGTGTGTAGATGGCTGATTATTCAATTTGATATGAAATGCAGGTGCATGGGAAGATGCAGCCGTACAGGCTCTGCTGGGATATGCATCATCCTGATTATTTTTCTGCTCTCTGTAGGTGATCCCTACAGAGTGATTTAATTTCCTACTTAGGTGACACTTAGGACTGTTGCAGACTTGAGTGATTTAAGTAACGCCTTCTTGTCAGTAGGGGGCAATATCACATAGTAGAAGGAGCACAGAGTGCGTAGTCAGATTTCTGTGCAATTGATCCCTGGCAGTGTGACTGTCCCTAGGGTTCCCAATTGTGTATTATATCATTTTCAGAATCGCCTGGCATTTGCTTTTAAAATGTAGATTTTTATACCCTACCCCTGACTATGTTTTAGTCAGTCTGGTGCAGGGCCCTAAAATCTATGTTTTGTTTTGTTTTTTAACATTCAAGATCATTCTGATAGTTAGCTAAACTTGGGGACCAGTGATTTAATCTTCCTGACTCCTAGGCTTCACAGGATTGCTGTAAACAGTAAATGAGGAAATATATTTGGGTTTGATAAACTTTGAATCTCCATAAACTATCAATTGCTAATTAAATTACTTCTTAAAACAATTTTTCCATTTCTTTTTAAATGACTTCTTCAATTTCTCATCAGTTTGAAGATTGACTATATGAGAGCATATTATATTTTGTTTGATGTTATGCATTGTGATAGCAGAGAGAAAACTAATGAATTCTGTCCAATACATATACATAATACTTAAAACATAGGATTAATTAGATGATAGTTTTTGATGTTGAAGAAACGATAGAAAGCAAAAGACCCTTGATTAAATTTGTGTTAAACCTGAGGAATAAATGCCCATTTTTAAAAAACGTCAAGAAAGATTGAACAGAAACCACTTCTCTATACTTTTAATACAAAATTCACATTTATTACTGACACTGTAATAATTTAATTTACAAATATATTCTGACTTTTAAGTTTTAAGAGCAATAGCTTACGTTAAATACATTATTCACTTCTTCATCTCTTTCAAGCCCAAAGCAATCAAACAAACAAAACAACACCAGAAAAACTTGGTGTCAGTAATAGCAATGGCGATTTCAGTCCACACATTGTTCAAATAGTCGTCCAAGTTCCAGAGAGTTCAGCAGCTCAAGAGAATCTCTATATAATAATACGCAGCATAAGTGTCAGTTGACCTTGAGGCTTATAGCATATGCCTTAATCAGTTTTAAAGACTTTCTTCACCGTTCCTGTGTGACTAGAGTTACCCAGCCTTCTCAGTTCTGCATGATTTTCTGGTCCATAGATCCGCCGTGTGTTATGACAGTACCACAGTGTCTCCTTCCTTCTACTGTCTCTCAGTTTTCATCTCGTGCTTCTTCACCCCCGCGCCTGGATAACTTCCACAGTAATCCTTTCTGAGTCATTTGTCCTTTCCCTGGACTGTCGAGTGGCCCCAAAAGCCCATGTTGTTCACCCAGGGAGCCATCCAGGCGCATTCCTTCTGCACTTGATACCATCTTTGATTCCCTGCAGCCAGGAAACGGTCACTTTAGACTGTTAGCTTGAAGGTCATTCAGGAGATTTAAGTATATATTTGACTTGAGGAACCTGGGGTAGGAGTCCTTTTCCATGAGCGTGTAGATGGTCTTTTGGGCTTCATCGAAACACGTGGAGGTTGGAGCTTTAATCTTCTTGGCTGTCGATTCTCGAGTGCGAAAGTCAATATTGATCTAAGAAGAAAATCGTCATTAGTTAATAAATTCCCAGTTCATTGCATATTTCATGATATTACAGTGTTTTTCGAAGCACCTCAAGATAGTGGCGTTAAGCCCACATTTAAATCTGTTCAAATATCTCTGGAATGCCCATTCTAAACCACTCCTATCCTAGGTGTGGAGGAGTTAAAAAGAAATATCAAAAAAGTTTTTGCTCCAAGTTAATTCATCATATAGTTGGGGGATGCAAAAGAGGCAGACGTGAAACATTTGAATATCCACACAAGGGGACATTTAAGATTCATAGGAGGAGAGAGACTTTGTGCAGCTGTCTCTTTGCTTGCACCAAGAATATTCAACCGGAAGGAAGGGAGGCCCTGCTACCGCCTGGAAATATTTCTGCTGCTGCAGCATGTGTGTTACACTATTCTGTCTTCTGTCCTCATCCACGATCAGGTGACACCAGTGCATCTCACCCCAATCCGATCATGTTAGCTAGTTTTGTAAAATCAGCCTTTCATCCAATCTTGTCACAAATATAGCAAATCAGATTATCATCGCACCAAACTATATAAATATACCTACATATATATAGCATTGAAATCATGATACTTAAAAAAGGATTCCATCTTGCTAGTTATATTGAGTTTTATTTCCGTATCTAATTTCCTTTACAGGTAACATAATGATAATGCACTTAATACTCACTTGTTTAGCAGCATCTGAATGCACAAAAGCTTTGTATATTTTTTCTGCCTTCTTCTGCAAAAGATCGGACTCTGTTTTTCTATAATCTTCACAAGCCAGCCAGAACTCAATATTCTCCTCGCTGAACTCAGACTTCAGGAAACTTCCAAAAACATCTCGACCAGCTATAAAGAAAGAGGGAGGGGTGAGATACTTATAGTAATTGCGCCAATAAATGAATAACTTGAAGCAGAAACTTGCAAGGAAAACACTATTGCATTCTCTAGGTACAGAGGTGAGAGTTGGCCGCTGCTGAAACAGCTGCGCCCCAGTTTGTAGAGGTGGGAACGTCTCAGACATTTCTTCATGTATAGTCTCTCTGGGGCCACACAGTCCCGTCGCTGCCTAGTGGTGGCTCCAAAAATGCTTTGCTTCCATCTGCTAATTAAATTAAAATTCGCTTCTACTGCTCACAAAACAATCCGTTTTTGTATATGGAATATTTTAAGGAAGCAAACATTGACAAAGGGCATTGGCATCATGTTAATTATTAACAGATATAATTTCCCCATCCAGTGCATATTAGTCACAAAATGTGAGGCCTATATATTACCTATTATATTTGCTAGTGTTACTGAGACTTTCAGATGAGCCATTGCTATGCTGTTCGTTTGTTTGGCTGAATCAGAAACTAAGTCATGAACGAGGTTGAACCATTTGATTCCCAATTGAGGCTCCTTAGGGAGTTTATGGAGAGAAGAGGGGGAACCCACCCTCTAGATAGAGACAAACTGCTCATATTCACCTCTCATCAGGGTCCTAATCCCAACAGACCTGCACTAGTCACATGAGGGCAAGGCAAGCTGATGACATTCTTTACCTGCTTTCATCAGAAATGCTCCATAAGACTCTGTTTTTAAAAATTGTCTTTACCTTATCTGTCATAACGTGTGTTTTGTTATATATAATGCGATTATATACTATGTGTCTTAACTGCCTTCAAAGCAGCCAGACATTGTGTCTTTGTTTTGAATACTTCCTGCTTCTAAAATGCTTGCCACATAAAAGTGGGCTGAATGAATGAGTTATGAACAATAAAATAATGAATTGAATGAATGAATCCTATTCCTTAGATCCAATGGCACAAAAACACATTCTTTAGGTAGCTTTCAGAATATCAGGTCACATCTTGAGGGATTTGGTTTATTTTGCAAAACTTTGAATGTTCAAAACCCCAGCCTAATTTTTAATTTTTCTCCTATAATGATCCATGAAAACGCCTGATTGTCTTGGCAAAGTTGTCAGTGGCAGAATTGAGTGTTAAGTGAACATTACACGACCACGAGGCATAATATGGTGAAACTCTCAGTGACTACAGAAAAATTACAATACAGCTTTCCACACACTCCCCTCTCCAGAGTACTGTATCTTAATGAGGCTATCAATGATGCATTGCGCTAAACCCAGACACATCCAGCAGTTAATCTATACGTACTTGGGTCGGAGAGAAGTTTTTCCAGAGAGTGAGACCACTGCAGTACTTCATCAGCAGAGAGTCTGCAGGGGATAAGATTTACATAAATTAGTAAAAAATATATATTTTTTTCATAAGCACAGGTAAAATCAGAATGGCTGCTGCATTTTTATAACGTCAAAAACTAAGACCATAGTTTCAATGAATTTTATTAAAATTCATCTATAAGAAAATAAAATTTCCTTTAGAATTACTATTGAAAAGAAATTTCATATAGAATTGCTATATGACAATATTTGCCAATAAAATCTGAAAAAAAAAATCCAAGTACCTATACTCCAACAGTATAATAAACAGCAAGTATGTGCATACACACAAGCTCCTATTTAATTTACATTGGTAGTAAAGTGCTAATCTCCTTAGGCTTATTACATAAAAGCAATAAAGTCCCTTTTGCGCAGTATAAATCTCTTGCTAGAATACAGAGCAGATGCATAGGCCACTTTTATGATAGTTCCGTGTGTCAGTGTACATACATGTCCTTAGACTTGGAGGTCTTCATTCCAGATTCCAGATGGGGGATCACAGATCTCAGATACGCTTTCACGTCCATTCCACTGCAAAAGATACAAAAGTGAACACATAGTTCCTCACTAGAAAACATTTCATTTGTGAAAAAGAAAACAGCCTGAAATAAACTTCTTCAGGGAATAAGACAATAATAAAAATTGTTGATATGATATGTTGCTATATTAACATTAAGCCAATTTAAGTCTGGAAAAATTCCCACCTAATGGAATGCCCAAAAGCGATTCATTTTTGCCTATAGTTAAATACACTTAGAACTCTGAACAGGTAATGGCTCTGATCTAGCTAAACTACTTGCTCATGTTTTCTTCTATTCATTCTCTGCTTTTCTGGCATTAAGGATAAGTCAAAATTCACAAAGTGAGACACTGAAGGAACTTACAAAGTCTTTGGCCTCCTTTTGTGTGTTTTGTCGTCTAGAAGTGAACGGTCAGTTCCTTTCAGTTCCTTCGGCGTAGCAGAGAAGAACATGCCCGGCATTCTGTCTAAGCTTGGCGTGTGGATGGCTGCTGCTCGCGTAGTCCTCACAAGCCAATATCTGCTTGTCAACGTCTCTGCTGCTTTATATAGCGAAGGCAAACAGGCTCGTGCTGTTCAGTGAGTCTGTTTATCAAGTGATGTTACCACAGAGGCTGAAGTTCCCCCTTTCTCACTGGGCTGTGACGTATATCTGAAAAAAAAAAAAAGAAAGAAAGAAAACGCACAGTGATGTTTTGTGGTTGAAACTTAACCAAACGAGAATAGGTCACTTTGATTAGAAAGAAAGGAAGAAAATAAGACACTGAAGCACACGCGCGTGTGCGTGCGCACACACACACACACACACACACACACACATACATCTAAAGCATTAGCAGTGTCAGTCTTTGGTTCTAGGGGATGCTTGTGTCTTTATGAAAATTGCATCTTTTGGTATATTTGTTGTATCACATAGAAACTCAACACTAGGGAGATATATTCTCTCAATGCTTTGTTAGTACTTGGGTATAAAATTCATCTGATCGCAGTGTTCTAAAAAGTGTATTTTTTTCTTTCAGGAAACAGTGTAAGGTAGACAAATCCTTTTTTTTTTTTTTTTTTGGTTTCATTAGTTCACAGCAAGAAATTTCTTTGTGTTTTCCCAGGTGCGTGCCAGACATTCTACTGGTGACATACAAGATGATTTTAAGGGGTACCCGGATTTTAACATTTATTAAAAATATAACTAATCGATCAGATTTTGATTTTTTTGTATATTACTGCTTAGGATAAGAATAAATAAAATTAAAATAAAATGATAAACAAATAAAAGTGCAGTTAACACAAAAAGAATAATATGAAGCATTTTGATACGAATTGCATAGTATCAGAGGAAAAACTGTTCATGGTAAAATAAGAGTGTATTTGGAGAGGCGAATAATGTGTACTTCTGGACGATCCACTTCTGAATTTTGGCAGTATCTCTGAAGAGTTAAGTGTAGCTTTAATTAAGATTAAGGATTTTTTAAAATCCCAAGGAATTAGATGACTCATCACTGATTAGGGTGGAGGGATTAGTGTAATATTAGCTCTTACAGAGTTTATATAGAGAGTGTGGTTTATTTATTGTGTCTAGTTTAACTTAAATCTCCACTGGGTTTTGCCCCTGAAAAGACAAAACACATTTTACTTAGAAGGGCTTCTGACAGTAATAGGTAAAGCTGACAAAAAGGAGGAGAGTATTACTTTTCCTACCTTGGTTCTATCATCAGGATAAAAAATATGTGAAGGAATCACATTTATAATATTTTAAAATTCACTTCCTACACAGCCATGAACATGAATTATATTGTATGTAGCAAGCGTCCTTTGATGTTCAAAAGAACATCACGATGCATTAAGAAAGAGAACTAGTGAGTGGAGGTGGGTACTTTGTGATCAAAACATAAATGATGAGGCTCAAAGACTAATGACATAAAGGCATGTGTTTGTATATTTCTTGTGGTTCAGTCTCTACTTAACTTTTCATTTCAAATCTTCAGCTTCTCATGTTTGTTTAGCTCGCATTTATCTCCTCCTTCCTGTAGATAGTTGTAAGTTACGTTAAAGAAACGTAATTTAATATGTATTTTTATTTTTTAACTAATTTATTTTATTTTTTATATTTATTTATTTATTTATTTATTTTTTAAATGGCAGTTTATTAATTTTTTCATACTATATATACATAGATTTTTTTAAAACATTTTCTCTTTTTATTTTCCCCTTCCCCCCCCCCCTCCTG